ATTTTTTTTTTAAGTCCTGTTTACTTTGGAATGCGCCTTGTATTACTCGGTTCAACTTCAAAATTTAGAAAAAAGTGAGAAGAAGAGAATATAATCGTAATAAACTAAAATGAATCCGAGTTGATTTAACCAGGCTGATGTAGTTTGTCTCTCTTTTGATTGAAAAAAAAAAAAACCTCATGGACCGAACTTTTATCTGCGAATCGCAATGTAATCGTTCCTTCTCTGAACCGGATGGTTGCTGAGTCACTTATAACAACGTCAGCGGGAAGTGGTCGTGCTCGAATCGCGGTCATCCGGAGGCCAATTCAGGATTAACTATCAGGAAGGTTTTGATATGTCTTTGGCAGAATTGGCACAGAATTATTTGCTCCTCTACTCCAAACTCATAATTAGTACCTGTACTCCCAGCATTTAGACTGGTTTGGGCCAAAAGATGAAAAATTGTATTTCATGAGGTCACACACATATATATAGGAACTCGCCAGAAGCTCCGGGTGCTCAGTTGAATTAATCATATGAAATCGATATTCAGAATGAACAGTATTCCCAAATAAATATATATCGCTCCCTTGTTGCTTTCAACCTTTCGAGTTTTTAAGTAATCGCCAATAGCTGCAAATCTTTTCAAATACCCAACAGTCCACAAGCCAGTCTAAGCCACTAGTTGCACCATTAAATATTATTAGCTAACGGTTGCCGAATATATTTACCGAAAAACAAACAAACATTAAAACAAAAGCTTTAAACAAGCAATGTAATTGACAAAATGCAAACAACAATAACAACAACAACACGGCAAGCAAATGCATCGTTTAAACACCGCAAATGTTGAGTAGTGAACAAATATGGAAATATGCCAAATTGAATAAAGCGATAAACATAAAATGTACATTAATGCTTTGCCTTCCGTCACACTCATACAGAGACGCTCGCACACTCTCCCCCACACACACACATATGTTCATATGTGCTGTGCGTTAATTAGATTGTTTCAGTTGTCGATTGCAATTTACTCATGCAAGTTAAGCTATTTTAGTATTACTATTTGCGTTCAGTTCGATTACGAGCGGTTTTTTGTTAGACCATAATATATTTTGTTAGACCATTTAATAAGTTTAATTTTTATAGCCCTGTAAGATGTTAGTTTGGGTTTAATTGCATTGTTCAACTAACGGTCGTTCGCAATATCTAAAATCCCATAGAGTTATGTTTATACTTSAAATGAATCGGGATGCGGCGGCTGTCTTTTCGTACGTCTGTTTGTTTTTCCGTCTGTCGGACCGTTCAATTTTCAGTTCGACCGTTGTTTGCTTATCCATCTGACCGTMCAGTTTTCAGYCCGYCCTTCTGTCCSACCGACYATTTGTCCGTCCGTCCTAAATCTCCGATTGTCAGTCCGTCGRTCCGCCAAACACTACATTTRTTCGTCTCTTTGATCGTTCATTTGTCCATCCGTCTGTTTGTTCGTCTGTTSGACCGCCCGTTTGTCTATCCGTCTGTTTGTCCATCTATTCGACCGCCCCTTTGTCCGTCCGATCGTTTGTCTGTGTGTCTRACCTTCCARTTTTCAGTCCACCCTTCTGTCCAACCGACCATTTGTCCGTCCGCTTGTTTGTCCGTCGGTCCGTCCGACCCTCCCCTCGTTCAATTGTCCTGCCGTCCGTTTGTCAGTCCGACCGACCATTTATCCGACCGTCCGTTTGTCCTTCCGTCCGATTGTTTGTCAGTGTGGCCCTTCCCRAATGGTTGAAATCGGTCATTTCAAGTCTTCGAATCWACGAAAATAYCGTTCAATTTGGGAGATCTAATTAAATKTCGACTCCAAGTTCGCCATTAACTGGAAGGGAGTCGGTGAAGCTCTTGGTGGCTCCACATGTGCTATGTCGTCGGTGTAATCAAGGAATGAGCTGCTGATATTCTTATGGGGCGGTTCTGCTTCAATCAGATGACTGAAAGAATACGGAGTGCACTACACCTCGTTAGTCGAAGAAAAGTCTGAATATAACCTTGATTTTTGATCAGATTTGACGTGATTTTTTTGGCTTCCGTTCACTTCTGCCACGATATTAGGGCGATGGATCGTCTGTTTTGGGGTCATAAACATAGATCTAAGATTCATCGCCAGCAATAAAACGTTTCGTGGCATTCTGGTAGTCGGAAAGCATTCTTTCGCAGACGTTAACGCAACGCTGTATTACGAAAAAATTGAGTGATTTTGGAACCAAACGTGCGTTCATTTTTCTTAGGTCCAAATGATCTTTGAAAGAGGTTTTCACTATTTCTTCCCATATTCCGTGGATTCCAGTAAGATCTCTGACTGGTAATCGTCGAATCTCTAACACTAGTTCCTTTGCTTTATTGACGTGTTGATTACCGTCCTGGACGTGGTTTGTAGGCAACGCGTTCCTCTTTAACCGCGTTCGAACTGAACTCTTCCTTASTTGCCTCGGTTGCATTTGCTTGCTTGTTCTATTGCCTAACTAACCGAATGTCTGACGCCTGAACGCCTGAACGCTTGAATGCATTTCCAACTGCAGCGCTCTGGCTGTACTTGCATGTGTATTGATGTCTCTATTCATGAGTACGAATAATGTAATGCATTGGTAAATATTATTCAATATTTTAGTTAATAATAGCTCATTTTTTCACAAGCGCCACGCCTCGGGTTAATCGAATTCAATGGGACCGCAATAAAATCAAATGCTTTAACATTTCGATTTACGATTTGTCAATTGACATTTGCAATTAGCACTACACACGCATAATTGCTTTACATATGTATGTATGTATGTAGGTATGTATGTATGGCCGTTACATAAGTATGCCCACCTGCTGCAGTTGCATTTAAATAATTACACACGCTCGCGATTTTTGTAATTTAATAAAACCAATAATGCAAATATTTTATTTGTGGACATTTTAAAATTCCATGCAAAACACACACGTGTTGAATAATTACCATGTTATTGTTTTTGTTTTTGTGCTTTACACGAAATAATTCAATAATTTCCAATTATTGTTGTTAATTTACGGTTATAGCGGAAAGCAGTTATTTATGCATCAAATCCTGCATAAAATGTTAACAATTATAACGGCGAAAAATAAAAATAAATTAAATAAATTTGAATAATATAGAATACAATAACTGTGGTAAATATGCTAATGCCGTTATTTTAATTTGATTTCACCGAGTTTTGTTAACCCTTTGAGGCGCTTATTAAATTGTGGCGCTATTTGGTTTTGCTTGTCTAATTAGTCTAGTAGATACATTATTATAATAGCAGATAAACACTCGTTCTTCCTTTCGCTGTTTGGCGCCAATTAGAGATTCAAAGTGTAACCAGGTCCTGCTCCGCCTGGTCTTTCCTCTCCAACTCCCGGTGGGTACTGCGTCGAAGACTTTCAACTCCGTAGCCGCTGTCTCTTTATTTCGCCGAACTAGTTCATTGTTCCATCGATTGAGGTGCTCGCCGTTGCCAATACGCAAAGGACGATAAATCTTCCGCAGAACCTTCCTCGTAACGACAACTCATCAAATGTCGTCATCGTCCATGTCTCTGCACCAAAAAGCAGGACGTGGATGACACGTGAGTTGTAGAGTTTGGTCCTTGTTCGTCGATAGAGGACTTTATTTCTCAATTGCCTACTCAGTCCGAAGTAGCACCTGTTGACAAGAGTTATTCTGCGTTAGATTTCGAGGCTGRCATTGTTGCCGGTGTTAATGCTGGTTCTAAGATTACCGAAATTATCGAKGATTCGAAGTTATGACTGTCGAGTGTGTTTATTTGATGACAGCAGATATTTCGTTTAACGACATGATGATATTAATATCATCGGCATGCGCCAGCARCTCTRCACTCTTATAAAAGATTGTATCYTMTCGATGAAGCTCTGAAGCTCGAATTATTTTCTCCAGCAGTAGATTGAAGAAATCGCACGATAAGGAGTCTCCTTGTCTGAAACCTCGGAGAGTGCCAATTATGTTAGAGCTGGAGCCAAGTGTTGAAGTGCACGCAAGGACTTGGGAGTGGCCAGCAGTGATTCTGTTACATACGGCTCAAGCAGGTCACGACTTCCCGTCAAGTAGCCAAAAGCATCCATTTGAAGGGGAGATAAAGTGAGAAGGCGAAACATCTCCTTCGCTGGGTTTGAATCTCGCCACGTAAAAGACTATCAATGAAAAAAATAAACCAAATTAGCACTATAATAATAGGCCAATTGAAGAGTCTGCGGGCTAGCGTAGTAAAACTCGTTTTACCTAATTCAACATACGTAGCACCCTTCTAAGGTTATATGCTGATTATAGCGTTATATCCAACTTTACCAATTTTGTAGAACGATTTGTACTTTGCTTTAAAATAAGCCTCATTTTCCGCGATRACTTTTTCATTCGACGTAAATTTCTTCCCAGAGAGCGTTCTTTTTAGATAGATTTAGAGAAGAGGACATAATTGATCTGGATAATACGGTGCATGCGGAAGCCAAATTCGAAGACCAGTTCATTGAGTTTTGCCATCGTTTTCACTGACTGGTGACTGCAGTTTCTTTGTGAAACAGCACTTTTTTTCTTCAAATACTATCAGTTTTCGGCGATTTCGTCCTTCAAGGCCAAGCTTAGCGAAAGCAAGCTATCAAGGGCATACGAGACCACCGACCCACTCCCATTTTACCGATTGCGATTCTAGGGTTTCTTGCTAGCYCATCAGCTTTATAGTTTCCTGCGATTCCGCTGTAATCTCGCACCCATGCCAGTGCTATCACAAAGACACTTGATGCTATTGATAATGAAAAATCATTCGTTTCAATTTCAGTGTGAGTTTTCTCAACAACACAAAAGGCTTGCTTGCTAAGTGCTCAAGAGTCATAAATACTCGTACTCTTTGCTAGAAGTCTTTTGAATAATATATTCTCCAGTTGCCCCTTTCCACTTAACTATATTGCAATTATTTCTGAATAAATATTCATCTACTTTCTCCTTACTTTYCTTTTACTTCCAGGTTACATGTTGGCTTCCACGTTAACCGCTGATCAACCGGAACGCTCGCTGCAATTACAATTGGAACAACTGTTGGTGCATGTCATGAAGATACTCAACATCTACTATCATTTGATTACGCAACAAAAGCCCCAACTATTTGTGAAAGTGCAGAAAAGCGATCTGTTCGCCAATGCGAAGGAATTGGCGCTGGTGCAGAGCGTCGGATATTTCGGCAGCGATTACATTTATATAAAACTTTACAACATTTTAAGAAGTGCTAATGACAGCTACAAGGTAAGCGTAATTGCGTCGCATGCAACACGGACACACACACACACACACACACACAGATAGAGACAGACAATACCAAAAAGAGTGAAGAGAATAAGAATACAATTTGTATTCGGTGCGTCTGTTATTTTGCTGATATTCCGACAACTGGCTGTCTGTGTATGTGTGTGATATTGTATGTATGGATATAATGTTGGTATGTATGTGTCGCTGTATACGGGTATGTAAAGCTATATGTGTGTATGTGAGCTTGTATATTCACGTACCATGAGAGCTTCTCTTCAAATCCCCACTGTTTTCTGCGAGTTGCGAGTCCAGATGCATTTGCCGCGCATATTTAAATAATGTGTGTTTGTGTGTGTGTGTGTGTGCCTACAGATGCTCATTTATACTCACTTATATTGTATGTATGTGTTCGTAGTTGCCCATATCCCTCAGTTTGGTCGGCCAGCTTTAGTTGCTGGTTGACGCGCATTAGTGAGTTCACTCTTGAACATTACGTAAATTGTAAAAGTTCCTCGTGGCTTCTTGCTATGTTGGCTGGCGCTCCTTGTTCTCGTGTTTGCTGCGTAAACTTGTCTGACCCCCGTCAGTTTGTTTCGGTCTTTCGCGAATTTAAATTTCGATTGTGGACTAAAAGCGACTTTATCTGCAGCTACACATTTAATGTGTGAAACTGTGATTATTTGTATGTGCGTGTGTGTGCGTGTATGAATGTGTGTTTGTATAGTCATGTTTGTAGTAAATGTGCTCTCTGTTTGGGTATRTAAATACTATCCCGTGGGACTTTTTGGGTATTGCTTACAGCCACATGCAGTTGGCTATGTTCCGCAATTACTTACGAGGGCTGTTGAATATATTACTGGGCTGAGTTAAAGTAAGGTTAAGTTAAAAGTYGGATCCAAAAACGGATCCTAGTTGGACTGCTGAGAATGTCRGTTTATTCTGATACCTAGATATTAATAAGCGTTGTTGGAAAARACAAAAATCGAAATAGGTCTTTGAGGCCGTCAAAAATTTGTTGAATCAGCTGATATCAATTTCGGTTCATTCGTAAGCTTTGACGATGATATGACTTCCGAGATATTTCAACCTCAATCTTGCAAAACCTGGACAAYGGAGGAGAAAGTGAGTGGAWGTTTTCACTTTGCCTTGCTCCATACAACTTTGGGTGTTACCGACAACCTTTTCAGCCTTACCGCATTCACGCCTATTGGGCACTATCCAATGCGAACTTTCGCGATTGCTGCAAGAGGAACCTTACTGAAAGCAAATTTGAGCTGTAGGGCGGCTGCGGGCCTTGGTTAGAAAGCTGTTCACAAGAAAGGMRGGGKGATCTGGGGCGTCACAGCACAGATTTTGATAAATCTATCATCAGTGCTTGWCGAAGTCGCAGGTCTCCCAGCACGGTTTTAATCAGCGACCACTTTCYGGGCCTCCAAAAAGGACTGGTGCCASCGAAAYATRTCACTTTTTGCTAAAGCAACATCTRWGTAAGCCTTCTTGATCATATCAAACGTTTCTGTMGCARATTTACCGAGTTTCACACWGAAGTTAATCGCGTACCCCTGCTCTAAGTAGCGCTGCATTTTCGGYTTGCACCAYTTACARAAACACGTAGCGCGAAARTGTTTGTCCAGACTCACCAGCTTTTCGGAGACAACCGACCAGCCGCTCGTTTAGTAGCTGGGATTTCGCTCTACSGAATCCAGTTGGTGCGCGCACGCTCCAAAGCACAGTCGCGRCGGAAGAAAAGCKKTGCCATTACTTTCCGAACATACCCTGTAGTTCAGCGAATTAAGAGAGACGCGGCGAATGAATGAAAACACTGCAGCTCTGAGAGAAGTCGACGCAGCACCCGCCGGGAAGCAGAGGAAGATCTCTACTGCGTTGGAAAGATCAGGTAGAGAAGGAGCAGCGAAAGGAAAGAATAATGATATSGCTTTTCGTTAATTCTTATGTAGACTTATACTCAGCTTCTCTGCTCCAAGTAATTAGGGTTCTAGTAGATAACTGAAGACGTTGAAACCTATAACTTATATATATATTATAAAAAGTATACGAACTCATTAACCCATCGGGCTACCCGCGTAACTGCTTTTGTTGTTGTTCCATTGTGCAACCGCACGAATGCCGAATATGTAGTGTGCGAGATTTTGTGGCTTTCGCGTGGGTTGCGCGGATTTTTAGTATCTGATACTTGCGGTTTAAAAAGTTGCAAACTAGCAGAAATCATAAAAACAACCAAGCCAGCTATGGGGAGAGAAGCAACGCGACTCCAAAGTGCGCGCGCCAAGTGAAGCGGAGTGAAACATATGCATGATACACACATACAGACATAGACAGACACATATGCGCTCGCTTTGATACTTGCAAAGTGGTAATTTGTGCAGCATTTAAAGTTACAATGGGTGTAACGACTGCCAAAATAGCTAACTCCAACTGACGTTCGCACTGACTGAGTGCCTCAGCCGTTCCATTTGTCTGGTTGCAGTTTCGTTTTAAAGCTTTTGTGGTAATGTAATTTGTGTGACGGTTTATTTCTGGTTTACGCCTGGACGTGTTGCCCAAGCATGATCCGGATAGCAGTACAGATACGCTTAAGGGTTTCGAGCATAAAACTAAGAGAATGCACCGAGCAGCGACGTCATCACGCTGGAAATGGTGCATAAAAGTGCCAAAGGGCGGGTGGGAGCTCCCAGGCGTGAAAGATGTATGCTCTTTTATTAATAGATCAGTGTGTTTGTGCGTTGTGTGCCGATCGAGTTTTTGTGGCGCTCTAAAACTGGGAACAAGAGTGTAGATTTATAACTTGCAAATGCTGTTAGTTCATCGRAATGAGGTGATATTAGTACAGCAAACTCCAGTAAATAGAAGATTTACATGGGGTGAAAGGTTTTATCTTGAAAATAGAAGTGTGGCTAAAAAAAATTTCAATTCTCTGCTTCTTCGACTACGTCCCTGAAAGCTTTGATCACTGCGTCTCAGAGTTTACTGTTAAAGAGAAAGCTCTTCTCACATACCAACGAGGCATATGAGGATTGAAATYGATAAAAAAGTGGCAAGGTAAAATTTTTCCAGATGGTTCGAAACTTAGTGGGAAAATTTGAGAGGAATCTCTTTGAGCCCGGGCACTAGGCGCTCACAGTTTGTTAAGGAGTATCTGTCTGCCCTATCAATCTACTCTACTCAGACTTGTCTGATTGCCTGATCAAGGTGGGATCGCTGTGAACTGCGTTCAACTTTTCATAATCTTAGGTTGAAATCTGCAGCCAGTCTCTATCTTCGGCGAATTTTACGAATAAGCCGTTATTGATTTCAGCCGGCTTAACAAATTTAATGGCAGGTTAAAAGCACTTTGTCAACTTTTGATAGTCTTTTTGATTAATGTTAGAGACTATTCAGGTAACAATGGATCTGCGTTCTCAGCTGTTTAAGTGGGACTCTTTTTGGCTCGACTTTTTAAGCTACTCTAACCGATCTAAAATAAGGTTGGCTCAAATAATGGCCTTCRACGACTTTCATGGGGAAGAAATCATTAAGTGAACTTCTGATTGCACTGAGGTGTTAACGATATGTATATGTTTCAATTCTCTCGGAAAGTTGTTGTTGTTATAAAGTATACCAAATACCCGTAAAGATGCTAAGGAGTCGATAAGTTGTCGTCGATGTCATCTAACGCTAGRACCAGGAAACGTGTTGTTTTGACAGGGTTGGACCAAAGGGAGAAGAATGTCAAATGAGTAGAGTTAGCAGGGCATGCAAAGAGGTGGCAGTGTTATGCGGGGACTTATTGTACGTTAGACATATATTTGGTATGTCAGGGACTGTTCTGGATAAGTATGAGTTTAACCTGCTACTGAAACTGCGCAAGTATCACTCTCGTCTCTCGAGCTCTTCGTCTGCAATAGATGATGGGTTGACTCTAAGTACGCCATTCACTGAGAGAGAAAGTCGATGAAGATGGTGAATGGCGGTCAGTGCCTGCCCGAAGTTAGTTGCGTTCGAAGTCTGGTCGGCGTATTGTTTGATGTCGTCGATGTAGTGAGGAAATAATGATCCTAGGATCCGCCCAGGTGACTGCAGGAATGATTTCCGCAAAAGCTCCCCAGCAGGAACAGCATGGAGAGGAGTTCATTATGCTCCTTAACTGGAAGCATATCGGCCTCACTAAGCAGGTGTCCGATGGAAGACATCAAGGAGCATTCTGCGTAGTCTGAAGTGCATTGTTCTGACAAGTTTGGAGCTTCCTCGTCTGCGTTTCACAGCATCCAGGCGACCATATTGGTGCGGCGTAGTTAAGGACCGGCCAGCCGTTTGCCTTGTATGTTGCTAACAACGTTTCTTTGTCCTTTTGCCATGTGCTGCCGGCTAGAGACTTGAGACTTTTGTTGCGGCTCTGTATTTTGGCGATAATCGCACAGACTGTCGAAAGTAACACCAAAAATTTTAGTGTTACTTTTAGTGTAATTCGTCCAGTTGGTGAACAAAGTCGCTGTGGACTTAGTGGGGGAAAGTGTTAAGTTCGGTGCAGCGAGGAAGCGAGAACAATCGGAGAGATAGCCGTTTACTTTTGAGCACATGTCATCGATTCTATAGTGCGACGTCAATATCGTGCTATTAACCGTGTGCGAGGTGATAGAAATTCCCTCTGATGGTTGCTGGAGTGTCGACATGCAAAAGTTTATTAACGACGGGGAGAGGACATCACCCTGCGGCACAACTAGTTTAATTCTTCACAGTTTTGGGKTTTTACCTCGAAATAGTACGGATGCTTGACGACCGTTCASATAGTTCATAGAACAACTCTTCAGTTCTGGAGGGAGCGTAGATTTTGTCCCCAAGTAGTGTTGTGTGATTGTCTGTGTCGAAGGCTTTTGGCAGGGTATAATTTCCATTTTGGCTTTAAGGTTTAAATTAAGAAGAAGTTTTGAATCTGAGAATCTTCCGGGACATAAAATATATTCGTAGTTAATTGCACTTAATTCCACGCGTTAGTTTTAAGAAAATTTCTCCAGACTTTGCTTAATACACAAACACCAACACACATACRCGTACATTTCAAAYCACTTGTACCCACACATATGTATACTGCGAAACACTGTTGTAACGTCTATTTCTCTATTCTCTTCCGTCGCCTATCCAGATTACGATAAATCAAGAATCCGGCAGGTTATTAATTTCGCTACTCCGGACGTGCCTCAACACTTTGGGCTTGTGCATTGAATTGCGCGCACACACCGCACCAACACCAACACCCGCCGGCACGCCCACCGGCCATACGCCCAGCCATGGACGACAGCGCGGCCAYAGCCCCGGCAGCAGTGGCGCGGACACGACGTCCAACACTGGAACTGGAGCTGCTACGGCAGTCTTCCCCACCAACGCCACTCTAAAATTAATTGAAGAAATTCTCCAGTATTTGA